ATTTTGGGGAGGGGGTGGGGTGGAGGATGGGCTGCCAGCGCCGATTTCGGGTGTGATGGAGGGGAGGGAGCCGTGTTTGTGCCTAAAGTCGCAGCTGCCTGGATTTGGCCCCGCGGGGCCATTGGGATGTGACAGCACCCAAAAATAGAGTGCGAGGCTGGGAGGAGCGGCGGGGGGGCAGACTCGTGTGCCAGTGCCAGGGCCAGGTTATTCCCCCTCGTCACCTTTCCCTCGTCTTCTCTTCTTTATTTCTTTATTTCTTTGGCAGTGATGTCAGGGAGGGGAGCGGTGCCTGGGGCTGGGGGTTGGATTCTCGGCAAGGAGGTTGCTGGCGGCCGAGTGATTAACGTGCAGTTGCTGGGAATTATGTCATCTGCCTCGGTGCTGGGTGGCCCTCGCCCAGCAGCGGCGGTGGGGAGGGAGGGAAGGACGTGGGGGGACGTCATGGCAGGGGTCTCCCCGCCTCAGGCTTCACCCCGGGAGGCGCCGATGCCTCCCCGGCTTGGCGAGGACGCGGGCAGCCAGCGTTCCTCCCCAGCCCGAGACGGGGATCCCCGCTCGGGACATCACTCCAGGAGGCAGCGGTGCCTCCGTGGCTTTGCAGGGATCCCCCGCGCCCCCCGGGCCATGGGTGCACGCCCACCCCGCTGCTCCTGGCGGTGCCCGGGATGCATTCCCGGCGGGAGAGGAGCGCCTTGTGCTGCTCCCCATGGCTCATCCTGCTCGCCGGCCCGGCAGCCGGGCTCGGAGCAGGCTGCGATGGAGGAGGGTGAAGGTGGGCATCCCCTCTGCCACCTCCCCGGGAGAGAGCGGGGCTGGAGCTGCTGCACTGCAGCACAGAGCCCCATCCGCGCCCGTGGGTGTGCCCGGGGGGAGCGGGGACCCTCTTTGCCACCCCGTCCCGTCCTCGGAGCCGAGGCGAGAGCCTGGGGACCTGTGGCTGCCAGCGGCCCCCCAGGCCAGACGATCCCTCTGCTCCAGAGGAGGGTGTTGGGCTGCTGGATGCTCCACACCCTCCTGGGCATCCCCCTGGGCATTCCCTGAGCATCCCCTGAGCATCCCCTTGAATATCCCCTTCAACATCCCCCTGAGCACCCCCTGAGCATCCCCTTGAACATCCCTGAGCATCTCCTGAGCATCCCCCGAGCACCCCCTGAGCATCCCCTTGAATATCCCCCGAGCATCCCTTGAGTACCCCCTGAGCATCCCCTTGAATATCCCCCGAGCATCCCTTGAGTACCCCCTGAGCACCTCCTGAGCATCCCCATCCTCTTGCCCACGTGGGGAGCTGGGGAAGGAGGATGAGGCCTGCCAGTGAGCCAGGCACAGACCCTGGTGTACATCCACAACCTCTTCCCTCTGCTCCACGCCCCATGGATCCCCGGGCAGCTCCTGTGCGTCGGACAGGGAGAGGAGCAGGCAGGAAGGCTGCAGGGAGATGTGCAGCGGAGGTAGGAAGGGCGGGCACAGCTCTAGCGGGGCATTTTCTGGCATTTTCTGCCCCACAGCACAGTCCACGGAAGCGGGGGGATGCCGACAGCTCCCTGAATTCCAGCTGGGAGCCAGAGGGTGCAGTCGCGGCCGGGGGATGCCACTTGCCCCGCGGGATAACCTCTGGCAACTCCCTCAGCTCCCAACACCCTCCGGCACATCCTTCATCCTCAAACCTGCTCCGGCGGCGGATTGTGCCACTCCGAGCCCTGCAGGGAGGTGCTGGCACGAAGAGGGAGCGCAGGGCACCCCCAGTTTGGGGCAGGCAGGAGCGGGAGGCTGCTCCATCCCTCGGCCGTGCCCTCTCCAGGCGGGCTCCGTGCGCCGGGGGTTTGTTTATGTGTGGCCCTGGTTGAAGCGGCGATCTGCCGTGGCTAAATATAGCAGCGATGCTGTCATCCGAGTTCAGCCTGGCTGGGGAATTTATTTTCTGCAAAGGCTGCGAGGCGAACGGGCTGAGAACAGGCGTGGAAATGCCGGAGCCGTGTGATGCCCTGGCTGCCGTGGCCGGGCTCACGCAAGGGGAGCGGGCTCCTTGTCCCGAATTTCGGCTTTGTGATGGCAACAGGACAGAGGAGGAATGTTGGAAGGGCTGAAATTGTCCCTGCTGGCTCGCCGGGGCACCTGTGGGCATTTAAAAAGCGGCGCGGTGCCTATGTGGCTTCAGTTCTCCATGCAGGGAAGGGATCCCCCCCTCCTCCTCCTCCTCCTCCTCCTCTTCCTCCTCCAACTCTTCCTTGCTGTCTCACCAGCCAAGGGATCAACTCGCAGCCCCCTCACATCTAAAAGGAGCAGGGAGAGAAGCATCTGAAAGTCCAGCATCTGTCTGTGGGTATCTGGGAGAGAGAAGCAGCTTATCCCACAGGAGATGGGACTGGGAGAGCCCCCCCGTCCCTGGGGGCTGCAGCATCAACCCCGGGCATCCCCTGCTGCTTCCATCACCTTTGATCACCCATCTCTGGGAAAAACGGGAAAAGAGGCAGAAAGACAGGACCCCTGACTTGCAAAAAAAAAAAAAAAAAAAAAAAAACCCAGGCAGATGGGGAGGGTGTTTTCCACATGCACTGTGAAAACCACGTTGCATCAGCTGTCGCTGCGTGATAGCTCCATGTGGATGGAGCAGGAATGTGGATAAACCGGCTGCAAAAAAGTTTCTGAAAGGAGTTATATCCCGACAGGGAAGGTTAAGAGTTAAGAGGGTGTTGCTGGAGCTGTTGAAGGGCTTAAAATCTGCTTTCTCCTGAAGAGGAACTGAGCCATGCCCGGGGCTGTCAGAGAAATCCAGCAAACAAAGGGTGAAACAGGAGATTTCTTGTTTCCCTTCACAGAGGATCTTTCCCATTAGTCATTCCTGTCACAGGAGCTGGCAAACACGGTTATTATTTGAGGGATCTGAAAGTGAAATGGAGGCATGAGGCCAGGAGCCCAGACATCCCTGTCCCTGGGACTGGGGAGCAGGCAGGGACCCCCCAAACCCTCTGGCTCCCCCACACCTCTGCTCCGTGGCTAAAGTCATGCTGGGCCCCTGGATTTATCCTCTGATTGTGGGAGCCCTTTCCAAGGAACCTGGTCTAGGGAGTGGCATCCCTGGTCCCTCCCATCCCAAACTATTCCAGGATTTCAGGGTTCCAGCAGGACACGGTGGCACCAGGGGCCATAGGTAGGCTGGGATGCTCCATCCTGGAGGTGGTGGTGGTGGACCAAGCACCTTGAGATCCTGCAATAATCCAGGTGCTTCCCCAAAGCACCCAAAACTCAGCTCTTCCATCACCCCACAGCCTCAGGCATCTCCATGGGGGAAAGGACCAGGCTGAGCCCCACCATGGGTGGGAAGAAGGTCCAAGGAGGTTCCCAAACAGCAAGGAAAGCAAAGGTAGCTGATCAGGATATTGGGATGGCTCGTGCCTTATGATCTTGGCTGGAGCCAAGAGCTATCCTGGCAGAGGGAGCTGAAAGTCCCCTCGAACCATGCAGGAGCTGCAGGGGTTCCTGCAAGGCTGCAAGGCTGGGGATCAGGTTCACAGGGATTGTGGCTCAGTTTCCAGCTCACAAAATTGGGGGGTTTTGCCATGAAGATGTGGGCCCTGTTGGCTTAATCTGGTTCCCGAGGTAGAAGGATGAGTTTTGTCTGAGCCCATTGTGAGCCTCTCTTTCCATCAGGGACAAATCCTGATCACAAGCCAGTGAGAAGCTCCAGAGCCAGCAGGTTGCTCCAGGTTTAGACAGGTGTAATCCCAGAATCCCAGACTCACTCAGGTTGGAAAACACCTCTGGGATCACTGAGTACCAACCTTTGACCAAACACCACCACCCCAGCTAAACCAGAGCTCTGAGTGCCACATCCAGTCATTCCTTGGGTAATTCCAGGGACTGTGACTCCATCATCTCCCTGGAAAGCCCTTTCCAATGCTTAGCAGCCTTTTCCATGAAGAAACTCTTCCTGGTGTCCAACTTGACCCTCTCCTGGCCCAGCCTGAGGCTGTTCCCTCTCCTCCTGTCCCTGTTCTCTGGGAGCACAGCCCGACCCCCCGGGGTGTCCCCTCCTGTCAGGAGGTGTGCAGAGCCACAAGGGCCCCCCTGAGCCTCCTTTGCTCCAGGCTGAGCCCCTTTCCAGCTCCCTCAGCCGCTCCTGGGGCTCCAGCCCTTTCCCCAGCTCTGCTCCCTTCCCTGGGCTCTCTCCAGCCCCTCCAGGTCTTTCTTGTTGTGAGAGGCCCAGAAGTTTCCCAGCACTGGAGGTGCCCCAACAGTGCCAGCACAGGGGACAGGCACTGTCCTGACCCTGCTGCCACCCCAATCCTGAAAAAATCCAGGTGCCATTGGCCTCCTGCCCACCTGAGCACACCTGGGCTCATGTCCAGCCGCTGGTGACCAGCACATCCAACTCCTTTTCCATCAATGGACAACAGAGCCCGTTCCCTTTGCTGGGAGCCCGGGAAAAAGGCAATCAGATCATTAACACATGCTGCTCTTCACACAACCAACCTCACAAATATTTATCAGCTGGAGAAACACACGGGCTCAGAAGTTGCCAAGTAACATAACAAGAGGCGCTTTTAAATAAATATCTGTGCGTCGCGGGTGACGAATTAACCAAATCCCTTGGTATGTGGCCCAAAGATCTGTTTTCCTCTGAAAGCCCAGCACCAGGAATAAAAATCATGATCCAAAGCAGGAATGGAAACCTGAGATAAGCAGTGACTGGCTGTCTGTCCAGCACTGGAGGGAATTGGGAAGGTCTGGGGAGTGATGCCCAACAGATCCATGCCTGCCAGGGACAAGCTGGGAGCAGGATGGGATGCGGGGGAAGTTATTTTGGAGGAGAGGTGAGAACGAGCCCAGTGCACCAGGCTGGGTCTCATTCTGAACCCACGTACCTCTCCTAAACACCCACAGCACTCATCTTCTCTGTAGGCTCAGGATTTCAAGGTACCTTGTT